GTGGGTGATTTGCACAGCTTCCACTGTTGTTTACCTCAATTTGTTGGTAATTTGTTTGAGCTGTGGATAGGTCTCGAGAACATCAGGCAGTTTGAGAACTTCAAGAAAATCAGAGCAGGACTTTTGACCATTACCAATCACTTGATCGATCAGGTCAGTGACAGTTGTTTCTGGAAGTGAGATATGTTTAATTTTGTGATACTGTCTGTCTGTGATGATATGTTTGGCATGCAGATGCTGCAGAATGAAGGAGTGATCTGCCTTCAGGCAATCAATGAGTTCCACCTTGTGCTCAATGATCATTTTCACAGCACGGCCCTGTAAAAGACAGCAGGGTTGGTTTGTCAATACTAAACAAATGAATGTTTTGGGGTTTATTAATCCGCGTATGAATGGTTCTTTCATTATTTCGTTTCAAAACCAAATCGGAAAAACAAGTAGTTTTTTCTGTTTTACGATAAACAAAAAAACAGACATCTGTTTTGTTTTTCTGTTTTAAACCCATAACTGAAAACAAAGAAGCTGTGTTTTGTTCTATGTTTGACCGGTGTGAACCCGTTCTCACTCCCGACTCCTCACATGACGGTAAAGGCAGGTATATAATATTTTACAGAAAAGACTGAGGACGTGGTTGGGGTGAATGGAGGGCCAGAACCCGGACTTTGAAGCAGTAGACCAGTCCAGTGTGAAACAAAAAGTCAGTATTACATACAGTCCCCCTCCAAAAGTATTTTTTGTTTTTCACTGAAGACATTTGGGTTTAAGATCAAAAGATGAGTATCAGGTAGTAGCCTAGAGAGGCTGAACGAAAATCACCCGACCCTTTTAATCATGTATGATTCGTTAATATAGAGCTTGCCAAATTAACTAATAACAGTTCATGTTTGCTGTGTACCATTGGATGTACTGACAACTATCACTGAATTAATATTAAAAATGAGAAATCTTAAAAACAGGAGGATTGTCAGGAAAGGGTTCCTGTTCCAGTTGCTAGTGAGTAACAAACTGAACATTGAGTCAATAGCAGCCTCCAGTACTGCAGCTATATAAAATTGTCCTAAAAACCCACTTATGTTGATGTTCAAGCTCATCTTAACTACATTTAATCAGGCACGGCCATCGTCCAAGTGTATCTGCTGCAGGTTTATTAAGTGTAACACACAAAGCTACACAAATTGGACTCATTAAACATCAAAATCAAAACTTGTTTTTTTGTTTTTCTGATTTGGTTTTGAAACTAAATAATCAAAGAACGAACCATAGGCTACAGGGATTTTTTTGAGTGAAAGGAGTCATTTTTTCTTTTTGGAAATGTTACCTTTTGCTAGTGCGGGACAAAGTCTTGGACGCCATTTTTATGTTTCAGCGTGTGGTTTGTAAGTGTGCCTGTAGAGCTTGCTTGTTTTCTTAATGTCTGACTGAGTGTGAACGTGTTTCTTTGCCTTGTTGATGGTGATCTGTCTAGTATGTCCTTGAGGTACTATATGTGTATATATATATATATAATATATAATTATACTGTATAAATTGAATTGCTCTTTTGTATTTTGCTTGAAGCTTTGGCAATGCTGTCATATTAACATTCATGCCAATAAAGCGAATTCGAAATTTGAGAGCAGGTTCATTATTGTTTGCTCACCTTTTTCTCCCCTCTTGAATTTACAGCCATGCTCATATATGTTTGTCTGTTAAATATGAAACTAGAGACCGTTAGCTTAGCTTAGCCTGACTGTGTGTATCAAGACCAACTTTCTTTTGTCTCTATCTGTTTGGTGTCTTGGTTGGGCTTTTGGGTCCAAACCTGCCTTTAATGAGTGTGTACATAGTCTCAGTGCTCAGCATCACCCGAGGCAGAGGCATAGAAGGCATCCTTGAGTTTGTCCCACTCTGGGTAATTTAGGAGAAATTCCTCCAAAACAACACTAAGCTATCAATGTGCATCTTACTCTGTAAGGTAATGTTTCTACAAGTGTGAGTACTGTACCTGAGAGGGAGGCAGTGTCTCATCTACAGTCCCTGAGAGGAAAGCAGTGTTAGGATTTGCTGAAGTTGTATTTTATTGTTGAATGTTTTGATTAATGAATGAGAGACTGACAGAAAGCACATGCAAATAATTATATTGGACAGATCACTAGTAAGAAGTTGGCAAATGTTACCTGCAGGTACTTGTGGTGTGTTCACACACACTGATAAATCAATATCACCCACATTGACACCAGTTATTTTATCAGCACATATTACACTGCCGCCAAGTGCAGTGTAGTTTGCATAGGGAACCTGTCCACCAATATTCCCTGAACAAGGAATGAAAAACGTGTTCAAAACATACATCAAAATACTCAAGCCAAATGTTATATATATTTCTTGTTTCAAAAGTTTTACAACAAGAACAGTTACTGTGCAAGCTTTACTAAAGCACTGCAATTTCAAATTCAAATTCAAATTCGCTTTATTGACATGAATGTATAGCAACAATATTGCCAAAGCTACATATAAAATACATGAGGACAATTAATTTCATTAGATAAGGAAATAACACAGCCAAAGTTGTATTTGTGTGTTAATACAAAATAAAATAATAATAAAATATATAATATAAAATTCCGTAAAAATAAATATTTAAATAAGTAAAACAATAAGCGTATGTGTGTGTTAGTATGTTAGAAAATGAAAATAATATATTAAATTCAAATAAATAAATAAAACGGTGAGTGTGTGAGTGTGTGTAAAAAAAATAAATAAATAAATAAATAAAATAAGTAAATGATACAGTAACGCGTGCGTGTGTGTGTGTGTGTGTGTGTAAAATTTTTTTAAAATAAGTAAGTAATAAGTAAGTAAAACTAAGTAAATAATTGCAATTTATTTTGCAACTTTCTTTGTATGCTTTCATAGTACAGGGAATACTTGAGAAATATGAATGCTCACCAGATGAACTACTTCCAGGACCATGCGCTGTTTCAATCTTCATGTTGAGGCATTTTGTGTTTGTTAATGTTAAGTCTCTGACAGTAACAACACTATTACAATCAGCAACCACTGTCGGAGTAGATGACCCTGTAAATATTGATGACAATCATAAATGGTAACACTTTAAATATTGTACACAAAATTGTAAATAGTTGCTAAGGAAAGAGTGAGGAAGGAATCATGAATGACCTGATAATTAATGAATCACTAATAAACAGTTAGTGAATAACTCCAAATTGATGATGATTCACTCGAGAACAGACTGGGATACCCTATATTAATGAATCATTAGGCAGTCATCATAAATATAATAAATCCTTGTTGTTCCTGATTAACTCAGCTTGAGTAGCACAAAACCTATTAACGACTCCCTTAATTATTACTTTTTTTGGGCCCCCTTCAAGTGAAGTGATACATCATACTAAGCAGAAATCCCTTATTACAACTACAGTTTTTAAATTCACCAGTAAAATAAGTTACTAGTTTTGTGCTGCTCAGCAGCTGCTTCAGAGTTGATCAGGAACCACTCATTAAGTGTCAGTATGTCAGTTTACAGATATTTATTAAGTAATGGTTGCCTGGTGATTCATTAATTTAGTATCTTCCAGTATGTTTTCTAGTAAATCATCTACATAGATTTGTTCCTCACTCATTCCTCATGTACTCACAGTTTAGTTTACTGTATTGTAAAGTCGGCTTAATTGAACTCAAGTGTATGATGAGGCTCACAGACAAGAGCTGTAGGGATTTTACAGGCAGAGCTTTACCTGCAGTGTTGGGGTGGAAAAGCTGTTGCACTTGCGGGTAATGGACCTGATGCTCCTTCAGAATCTCCCAGAAGCTCTGACAGCTCTCACTTCCCTTCTGAATTATTATTTTCAAAAGCATCCTCATCTTGTCTAAGGCATCGCTTTGATTTTCTACCTCTCTGAATTCATTCCGAGATAAAATATCCCCACACTCATTTAGGATGTAATCAGGGTCACTGGAAAGCCACTTACAGAGTTTGTCCTGCTCTGACTTCAGCTTGTCCATCATCTGCAATGAGACAGAAAACAGCACACAAGGTGCCAGAGACATAAGATTTGTTTAATCCATCCAACATAATTAACTTAAAAGCATTCCAGAATCGAAAGTGACTGTGTTTTATATAATCACACACTATAAAAACATTTAAGGCCACTTAAGACCAAAATAATAAGTGATTAAAAACGTTTACACAGTAGGCTACTGTCTATGCAGTGAAATTACAACATTTCTTTATGCAGAAATGTTAAATCACCGGCGCACTGACACTTCCCTTTCTATATTTACCAGGTAAACTTGACCCACATCTGGAGAGTCTCTTCAGGACGCAACACATAGCCTACCTTTATTTAGCGTGACTTGTCGTACTGTAGCCTAGTTGAAAAAAAAAAACCTGCAGGTCGGAAAATTGAATGTAAAGATGAAATATTAAAGAGTTTCCTGCTTATCGACAGAAACCGAACGCTTGCCGCCAACTGAGTTCACTTCCTCGTTGCTTCACCTACCCCAGTGGCGGACGTGACAGTGTAGGTGGAGAATAGGATGCATGGGCGTACAGCTGCGCTCCTGGTGACGCAGGCCAAATACATAATTATAGTGTAAATGGTAGGTCTCAATAATCAATAATTACCGTCACTGTATCTGTGAAGCCATTGCTACAGGCCACTGTCGGTCCTAACGCTGTTACATGGGTCATATTTTAGTTTGAACACTGAATGAAACTCGTCATTTGAACACCCCCCCCCCCCCTCCACTGGCTCTTGCAAGCCCCGTTACCTTATGGGATAAAACGTACAGCTTCGTTGCTCAGTTGGTCATAATAACAAAATACATACCTGCTTGTTTAAAAAAAAAAAAAAGCAAATGGGGGAAAAAATTGGCAATACTAGTTTGCCACTTTTGGGGGCTTCATATTCAACAGTTAATTAAATCAATAAAACAAGTCATGAGTCATGAGCCATGAGAAAATAGGAACCACTAATTACTTCTCCAAATATACCAGCTGTGCAGGCAGTATTGACATTTATTATTATTTATTATTTAACTGTAATCAGATTACCTTTAAAAATGTGGATTTAAAACATGAAGTGACTCATTTGTGGTACAATCATAAGCAAGTAGAAATATACAACATAGTTTCATATTGTATATAGTAAGTTACTAAAAAGGCTCATCACCAAGATCAGTTTTTCTTTAATTAAATGAAATGATTCACTTCATGACCGTTTACACTAAAACATACACAAATACAAATGACACTGTTAAAATAACAAGCATCCAGTCATGTTAAGTTAGCCATGGTGGTCTGTCCATTCATTAAGGGGAATCAAAGTTGACAGGATGACATTATGGTAGTGTTTGACCTCTGGTTATTAATCCCAGTCACATTGCTGCTGTCTTTGTCATGTTGGAGGTGGAAAAACAGGGCACCTGGAACCATGTAAATGATTAGTATGAGTTATCTTATGACACTTTGCAAAACTTGATATATTTCTGGTTAATACTGACTGTTGAGGCAGGAGATAAGAGATAAGATGCATTTTATCCGTAGCCGGTTCTAGCGTTAAAAAGCAACAAGTGTATGAGACTTATTTGGGATGTAAGTCCACACGCTGTCCTTCAGACTGTTTGCACTTTTGTCCATGCACAACAGTTGCAGAGCAGACTGTGTGGAATCTGATGGTTGGAATGGGCCTGTACCCCCAACTTAGTTTAGAGCTTTAACATTAATATGTATAATATGAAGCAATAAGGTAAATAAGTCACTTGTCATAGATAGAACTGATGAGGTTTATTCACAAACTTAAGAGGGCTGTCGGGGGTCTTGAGAGTTTTTACTGTGGAGGTGCTTGTTTACTGATGGATGTGCTTTTGACAAAGGTAGCGTTGCGCTCCAGTGTTACAGCCCTCCTTCCAGACGTCTGATTCAGTTCGCTCATGTCCACCCCTGAGTCTAAGCTGGTTTCTCGACTCTCAGCTGGCATTCGCCTCCTCTGCTGCTCTGACACAGCATAATGGATCTCAGCTGCAGGTTTGCCCTCCAGTGATACAAACCAGGCCCGAGGGGGCTGAAGTGAGGGGATTTTAGAAAGTTCTGCCAAGGCTTGCACCGAGTGTCTGCTGTCCACAATTTTATTCAGTGTTCCTGGGACCGACACTGACTCTGGGAGGCTGAAGTGACCCCTGGATGTGTTGGTTGAGGTCGCTGCCTGAGAGCCCTCTAGAACCTCAAGCTGGTCCTCAGTTTCTTCTGCCTGGTTCTGGGTGGCAGAGGAACCTTTTGACACAGTCTGGGTGAAGCTGTCTTTACTCAGCGGCTCGGTGGCGGCACTGTTTGAAGCTCCTGCTCGGGGAAGAGTGGCCGACCTGCTCCACTGAGGCTGCTCTGACTGCTCCTCCAAATGGAAGAACGCTGGAGTATGAAGAATGGCAACAGGCTGGTTGTAGAAAAACAAATTCTCTGTCAGAGAGGCTGGAACTCTGATCTGCTCTGTAGTTTTATGCAAACACTTCTGATCACTCAGGTCAGAGTTAAGCTCCAGTTCGTTACACTCCAAAGTAATGGCCACAGCGTTGGGGTTGGCTATTACGTTGCCATTGCGCATAGAAATTACAGAGGCATTGTGCCAGTTATCCCTTCTTTCTGTGAATGATTGGTGCAGTCCATCCTGTGGATCAGAGAAGTCTCCTTTATCATCACATGTGGAGGTGGATTGGTCTTTCCTCATCTCTGGTAGGATTTTTTTTGCCTTACTTTCACAGAGTGGACTTCTGTAGACAAGAGAGAACATTTGCCTCAAGCAGTGCCGGGCTGATCAACCTGGACATTCTTAATTAATTAATGGATATGCTTCTGTAGTCCGCTGTATTTTACTGCGAAGCTTTAATACTCAAACATGTTGGTGGTTTATTGTTTTAAGCACTTTAATATTTCTGATCAATAAGACCTACAACCTTCAGTTACAGCCCACACAGCACAAAGCGTAGTGCTAAAAGTTAAAGATACATTTGACGCTTGATTTATTTGATTCCCAGTGTGCTGGGAGCAGGTTTTGAGACTGCAACAAAACCAGAAAGTGCATCTTTAAATGTTATTCTGAGTAATCATACTAAAATCACCAACAACTTATATTTTATGAGATGTTACCTGCGATTAAACAATAACCCAAACAGAAGACAGACGACAACAACAAGCATTCCTCCAAGGATAACCATCAGGATAGATGAATGGCGCATAATGAAATCAACGGGGATGGCAAGTCCAAAGAAACCTGAAGCATACAGATGAGCAGAAGAAGAAGTTCAGATGAAATATAAACTATACATGCAAAATAAATCACTGTAGATTAAAATGAATATGTTGCATTTTGTATCAAAAAACATTTGCCATTTAATGAAAGGCCAGTTTCAGTGGATTATGAAACTTATTTTAAAATATTAGTAACTTATTTATTTTTCTTCCATCTGCTTGCAAGGTTGGAACAATTCAGTTGTTATACTAGTTATTTACAACAACCATCACAAAATCAATCCTGACATTCCCACCTTACTCCTGAACATGGCAAAGATGGTAGAGACTGAGCACTTGCCTCTGGTGGATGACAGAGGCGCTGCTATCCAGTAACCAAAGTGAGGAGCTGTGAATGTCCACCTGAGTTTTCCTTCCACTGACACCACCGTCCCTAGTCCTTTTCTCATCCATCCACCTAAAACAAACAACAAAAACAACCCCCTCAAATTTGCTTGTATAAAATTGTCTCTCAGATCTTCAAATAAGTGCGCTCGTCTCCTTGCAAAGACAGTTTAGGTGAATGAGGAGGGCTCTGAAATGAATGCTGCTACAGCTCCTGCATTATTTGTGGAGGAGGAGACATCACTTTGCTCCTCTCGGCAATTACTAAATTAACCAAACGGCTAATTCTAAGTAGATTTTTAGTGATACGTTTGTGAGCATTGAGTCAGCTGATACATGATAAACTGAACAAGGTAAAGATGGCCTCCTTATCTAGTCTAAACCAACAGATCGGACTTCCCCTTGATTCGTTTCATGTTCATGACACTAATAAGCCATGTGCTCTGAATTTAGATTAAGCTCTCCCCTGCAGATGTGGAGTGAAGTCACACCTTCCCTATGATCTTTATTTAATAATATAACATTAATTATATTTATATTAATCTTTGCTGATGGCTACAGTACTTGACTGAAACAGCTGTCGGTGCTACCCGGTGCTAGGTGCTAACAATATTGAAAATGCATATTACATTTAATCTTTCGGTAAAAGTGAGAGAGAGCCAGGAAAGCTATCAAAGTGTATTTAAGTGACCTGGTGCAATTTATAATTTTAAGTAATGTGTTAAGGATTATGTGGCTATTTGTATTTTAACCCATTACACCATTTGCAATGATCATCTAAGGCCTTTTTTATACTTTAGGTCCCTCACCATAGTTAATAAACTACATTTGTGTTGACAGGGAGCTCTTACCCCACTTGCTGTTATCTTAATGGAGCATGTCATTAATGGAAAGTTGTACCATTTACAACTGAGCCCCCTTTATTTAGCTACAATTCCAAATAAAGGCCATGAAATCATCTTCACTGTCTCTCCTGACTCCTCTAAGATCAAACTCTGTGCACGATCGGGACTTCTACTCACCGGTGGTCCGGTTAAAGAACCATGCTGGAACAACATTTGAACTCTGAAGTCCACAGCTGTCAGGAATGCTGAGGCTGACCTGTATGGGCCCACTCACATGTAACTCTGTGTCTCCTGAGAAAAGCTGCACATTGACAGCCGCCACCGGACTCAACTCCACACTGACGTATCCTTGAAAAACAGAGCAGGTAATGCTTGAGAGAAGTTGTGGACTAGACCAATTCAATTGTCCGTTTGTTTTTCTTGGATGGAATTGTCTTAAATGAAATATAAATAAATCTTAACTTTGGTAAATCAGTTTATTACAGCCTCTAATGGACGTTTTTTTAAGTGGTGCAGAATATGTGCTGCTATTGGACCATTCATCTGTCTATCAGTCTGCATGTACCACTAGATGGCACTACAGGAACACAAAATCCAAATTAAGCATTTTCTTCTTGAACTTTATCTAAACTTGCAGTTACTTTTGTCGTCTAAAATCTTCAGTGCAATGCAACGTTAAATTAGACTGTAAATACTAACACTGGAAATAGTGCTTTGTGTCAGTTTTCTGGTAAAAAGTCAAATCACTCTAATCTGAAACAAAATATACCATGACCTAAAATCTATTGTTTTCAGATTACTGCACTCATCTACCTGATTTACTACTCATGATGCCCATAGTGTTAAGAAAGGTGTCCTCCTCGGACGGCAGCTTGGGAACGGTCAGGTAGGCTTTGACAGAAGTGACGTCACTGCTGTCTGTCAGGTTCAGCAGGCTTTTGGGAAACTGGACAATTGGCAGCGATGAAGAATCTATCAACAAACAAACACAATGTGATCTATATCTGGTGAAAATATGTATTTCCCCTTTAGTGCACTCATGAGCAAGGCAGAAAGAGAAAGTTAAAAAGTGTGACTTAAACAATATATACAGTAGCCTACCAGATGTTTTGCCAGTGATCATGACAGAATCATCAAAAAGCCAGATGTTCCCTTGATTCAGGCCAAGTAGGGACATGGTCACGGAGGAAAATACTGCAGCAATGATGAAGAAGGAAGAGAAAAGGCTGCAAAATTAGGACTCAGTACTTCCTTTTGTCCATAAGATGGCAGTGTGACATTTTGACATATAAAGTCAAGTAATAAACCTGACAGGGAGGCAAGAAATGGGGGAATTCACTTTTCTGTCAGGGCCTTATCTAAGCATTAACAACAAAAAACAATAGCTCAAGTATTCAAGATTTAGTTCTTTGCTGTCTTGAGAAATGCATATCACTGCAGATGGCAGATGGCAACACAGATGGAGGAAGACACACACTCTAGATGTGGGTTATAAAATGATCCCAAATAGTCTTGTGTGCTGCACCTAACTGCGTCTTTACTGCAGTGGGGTGGAGCAATAATTGGCCTTACAGTGACAAGAAAAGAAAAGAAAAACCTGCGCAGATCCACTGGCAGATACACACATATATCAGTGTAATTGGTTGAGTTAAACAGGCAGAGCCGTGGGCTAATAGACTATAAATTCTAGCACTCGTGCCACTCAATGGAAAATACAGCCATGCCAAGTTCAAAAACAGTACTCCATGATTATGAGACCCAATAATGAATTAAAAAACAACGCTGCCTTTCTCAATTTTATCAATTTGATAAAGCTCTTTCGGCTACATACACAAATATCTTACTTGGCATTCTGTTGGTTTTACAAGGCAGCAGTGTGCAGACGTAGCCTTCCTTGCTGGCCACAATTGTGACTGGCACGTCACTTCGGTAAGGTACATGAAGTAAAACACCTCCATCCTCTCCAGTAAGAGCTGTGTTGGTCCTGGTGTAGTTGATGTAGACCTCCACCACTGCCTGGCACAGGTACTGACGACTCAGCACGTCGCTGACCTGGACTTTTAGGTTCAAGGCAGAACCTGGGGGGGAAGGAAAAATAACAAACCAAAGAGTTTACAGTCGAGCATGACAGTTCATACAAATTCAGGTAAAAAACGTAATCTACCACAAATTACACCTCTCGGACACACTCTCCACAAAATGTAACATTATAAGCTCCACAAAGGTAATATTTATTATATTATAAAGTATTGTAAGATGCTGCTGTTATTTTGTCCACCACCTTTTATGCAGTATGACCATATGCTTTAATGCTTTAACTGAATACACTGCATTTCCAATTAACTTAGACAGGACCTTATTGGCAACAACACAGGGAAAGTAATTTGCAGAATCCCTGGAGGATATCAATCAGTTAATCCCAGGAGATTTTAGACAGAGTTGGACACAAATACAAATTGTAAAAGTTGCCAATTTGTACTGCAAAGTGTGCATTCAAGACAACATTATGCTGCATCAATATACAGTACATATTTCCAATAACACGATTCTTATGAGGTAGCCCGATCATTACATGTTTTTAGGAAGGTCCTAGACAGTCCCATTAGGGGCCTAGTGATAAATGGGATACCTTACTCACAAACTCAATGAGCCACTTTCACACTCATTGTTAAGTTCATGACAACAGCACTTTATTTCTCAGATATAGTGTTGCTTAACAATGACGGAATGCTTAGCATAACCCCATCCTAAGCCTAATGAATATTTTTATATTAACAATGGATTAAATGACAATGTATAATGTGAAAGGTGTTGCTCGCAGCGACAAAACCTCAGAGAATTAGCATCAAATCTGCTTTTCCCTCCCTCAGCACTAGAGACCATTTCAGCCTCTTAAACTAACTGTTGTAGTTTTGGTCCCAAAACACTTTCATCAAGCCTGTTTTTAGCCACAGCAGGTAGCTTTTTTATGATAAACAAACTGTGTGACAGACAAAGTTAGCGACTAGCTGAGGAGCACGGAGGAGCATTTAGCTGCTGTAAGGCCAGATATTTCCATCAGGAATTGGTGGAGACCAAAACAGAGCTAAAAGTAGATTGAATTCTTACATTTATTGGGTGGCCACAAACACGACTCCAGATGAATGCAAATGTTAAACGTTGTTCTAACATGTTCACTGTGACAACTTTACGTTAATATTGTGTTTACAAATTATTCTGCTACACCCATGCGAGCCAGAAAGTGAGTCCATAGCCATGAATCTCAGCAACAGGCCCATCATGAACCCTCCAAAAGTTACAGTAGAGCATAGTTATTTTGTGCTAGGAGGCCATAAAAAAGTATTGCACTTTTTATTAGTAACAATAAATCACTATAGCAGCAATCTCACCAGTAATAATGTCATCGGCATCTTTCTCTAATGCTGACAATTTGACACTGACAGTAGCAGTGGTTGAATTTGCTGCTGGGCTGACTGCTCATAATCCTGCTGCTAAAAGATCTGCCAAAGCTTTACTGAAAACTCATGATGCCATGCCTTATGCTACCAGCTTTTCACAATATTTCAGCAAGTGCCAAAACCAGATAACCAGATCACCACTGCCCCTAACCATTCCCTTTGATCAGAAGCAGACAAATGCCTGGAGCTGCCAGGAGTGTCTGCGTTTTCAGCCACAATATAAAACCAATATCTACATTTGGCAGTGTTAGTGTCCCCCCTACTGGGACACACGCACCAGTGCAGATGGACAGCGAGGGTGCTTGTTATGGGAGAGGCAGCCACTTTATGTGTGTTCGGCCTTAGTGGCCAAACATAACAGAAGGGGGTCACTACATCTGAAGTGGAGGTGTTTCGTGCCAGATTACTATAATCTCCCCATTTGGCGAACTGAACCACACCACAAAGAGGTTTATGAAGTGGATTGAAACGGACCGTCTGAGGCCACTGAGACAGATGAGAAATTGATCCCAAGTTGAGTGTGATGGGGCTCGAATTCGGTTATTACTGGTTACATAATAGCACTGCCGTCCAATGAATGTTTTGTTTTTGAACGCTTTCTCTCTCAGTGTGTGAACTCTTTAATTTGGTAACATGAGGAAGATATTTCCACAAACATTAAATCACAAAGCTACTTTCCCCACAAATGTAGACCAGTAAATGCTAGAGTGGCAAGTTGTAATTGTTGAAAAGCAGCACGTTTGTGGCTAAAAGCATTTGCTTTTGCTGACATATCGGGCACATTCGTCGTACCATTATTATCATTTCACCACAGACTATGATCAAAATAAAGATGCACAGGGAGGAGCGCAAACATGTTGACCGGTCAGTTTGTGAGACCACCAGGCAGCACAAACAGATGGTCCAACAGGGAATTATCTCTGGTGACCCCCTCACCACATGGTGTGTGTGCGAGTGTTGGAATTAGGCCATACATTCCACTGTTGGACAAAAACACAAGTGCACCCTTTGATATCTGGGCCAAATCGGCCTCAAGAGCAAGTCAGCAGTATCATACTAAAGCCAGACAAAGGATGCTTAGGGAGGAGCTGGCTGAGGGGGTGGCACGAAGACGTGATGTCCTAACAACAACCAGTCCTGTTGTCAAATGATTATAATCCTCGCTGGGGGTAAATTGATTGAATCTTTAAGTCTGTTGCTCCAATGAAGGGACAACAATGGCAATGTTAATCTTAGCATGGGAGAACTGACCATCTGGTTCAAGAAAGGAGGAGGTTTTTGTACGTTTTCTTCTTCTTCATTTTCTCTTTTTATGCAGTAGAAGCAGTAGGTTGGCAGTCATTCCCATGACGGTTCACTCTGTACTGAAGGGACAGGAAGGCTGAGAGGAAAAAAGGTTTGGCAGGACACAACGCATGCCGGCAAACGGGGCTGGGGGTGGTACTAGGGACAACGCCATGCTTGGGTACATTTCCAAGTATTCCAAGTGTCCAAGACAGAGACTGGAGGATCATGTGATGACGGATGGCAATGTACTCCTACAGCAGCATGAATTAGTCATGAATCAGTTGATAAGTGAACAGTCACAAATCCCTCTTTCAGCTCTTCTGCATGGCTCTGCTGTAAACAAGATGGGTGGGGGGGCCTTCTTGGATGCTTTCTGGGTTTCCATACCTACAGCTTTTTTGCTTTTATGAAAATTTTTGCCCCACTCCCAAGTCACTTGTTATAATATCGTAAATGATGCAAATAGACACTGATAAATTGCTGCCTCGTTGGTGGTGATGCATTTAAAATGCACAGATTGACAAACCGTTACTCACTGGGTGACAACAGCAAGCTCCCGCATCACTTATTACTCATGAACAGATCAGTAGATTTACCAGCAAATCCTCATACAGATGGTCTAGCCCCACTAAATGAGGACATCTATAATCTGTTAGAGGCAGATTTGTAATGGCTGGTGGAGGAGAAATATGAAAAATGTCAAAATACCAACATTAATCCTTATTTTCCAGCCACAATGTAATATATTTTCATCTTAAATCAAACAGACTGAGCTTTACAAAGTTTTACTTTGGTTAAACTCGCCCGGTGATACAGTGAAGCCTCTACAGACCTGACAAGGGTTCGATCACTTGTTGTTGGCGCTGAAAGGGCTCTTGTTTCATGTGATCCCCGTTTGAAAAGTTCCCGTCGTTGATATGCAGAGAGTGTCCAGCCGGAGTGAACTCTCCGCTCGCTTTCCCATTCTTGCATAGAATCAGCGCAGACAGCAGACAGATCAACAGGCGCATGACTTTCAAAGAAAAGGTTGGATCGGTGTCACTTTTCACTCGCCACAGGTCCAATTTTCATCAGAAACTTGTACAGAGATGCCCACTCCACTGCCATCCTAACTACTCCTAACTACTACATCCTTCCAACTGCGGAGGGAAACTCCTCCCCTTTAAGCTGCTCCGTGGACCCACAGAGAGATTACCTATCTATCTATCTATCTTCTATCTAGATTTCAAAACAAAATAAACATTTTGCAAATGTATAGTTGTGGATGGAGACCGCTATTTAAGTAAAAGTAGAAATCTACAACAACGTAAACACTTGGGTAAATGTATTATCAAGTTACATTTATGACACTTTCACCATGTTCTAGGATTAGTATGATGATGCGTTTAAAGTCTCGTTTTGTCTTTATAAACTGGCTTTCAATGAGTTTATATACCTATTTTTATTCCTTTCTTTAAAATTGTACATCTTGATTGGACTGTATAGTTTATACTTGGTAATTGTGCTCTGTGTCTTCTGTTTAATATCACATAGTTACAATATTATAGTGTTACATATAATAATCATAAGAAGAAGAAGAATATACTGAGCTGAAATGAAACAAGTTGATTTACATTTAAAAATGTCCTTCCGATAAATGTACTATTTATAAGTTACATAACATGAAAATAGTTAGGTTAAGTTCATGAAAATTGTTCAGGTACAGTACTTTAGTGCATCTATTTAGTTCAGCACTGAATGAATATGTGGTTCTGCTGTCACCACTGGAATAATAATCCAATGATCAGCTGATTATCAAAGGTTGGATGGTGAAATATGCCATTCAGCCTCACATCAAAACATTTGCACGCACTGATTTGTACCACTAGATGGTGACAATGCAATGTCAGTTCACCAACAGTAAACTTATCCTAACTTTCAGTTAGCCATTAATAATCCCATGCATTTATTCACTGAACCTTTTGACCTCAAAGTCTGACCTTGAATTAGCTTGTACTTGTATGATCAATAGTGGTAGTACTAGAGGTGGAATCAGTGGCTGCAGCAGTGGCAGTAGTAGTCAAAGTAAACTATAGTTAGTGCTTTCAGTAGTACTGCAGTTTTAGGAGTTTTACAGGCGTCTTTATTTTCTACTTATTTATGCATTTGTGGGACTTTGCAGGTTTAACATATTTTTCAGCCTCTCTTTTTACATTACACTAATATTTTAGTCCCTGCACTCAAAAGGCGTCCACACTGTCTACACACCCACACAAGTCAGGAGTTCTTTGTTCTCTGTGTGGATTTTTGGTGTGCACAGCATATGATTCTTTAGTTTTTCACCTGTCTATTAATATATTCCTTTCTCGGGAGGATGACCCTTAATCCCTGGCAACTTCAAGAGCAGTAACCACACTCCTACCCACCTACCTATCCTGTTCTGGTTGGCCATGCAGGTAGTAAGTGACACAGAAACTGACAAGAAACAGTTTACAGTCAACATTTTAGAAGAGTTTGTGACATAAATCTGATTGAAATCACACTAGTTTACAGTAAAACATTCTTCTATGTTATTATTTAAATTAAAAACATTTCCGTCCTGTGTTCTGTATTTATCAATCAATGACCTTTCATTTTTTTTTATAGAGTGGGAGTCATACCCCACTTCAGTTTCTTATATCCTTCAAGTTGCACCTGAAGGTGGGCTTCCTCAGCGATGTTCCTGTCGCCAAAACGTGAGTGAATCCTTCCTCGGCTGGCTTCTTCACCACCATAGCTCTTGTGTGACAGGGGCCTCAGAGACGCAGTGAACTGACACATTTGTCCTCCCAGCTCTATTCCCATCTGACAGAGTATACATCAGAGGCTAAACACACAAGCAGGAGGATGGATGACAGCCTGAGTCTCCAGGATCAATTTGCCACAAATTAGATACAGTAATGGCTCATTTCTCTACATAAATAGCTGCATCTGCAGGGATTTTGGAAATCTGCTCGCTTTCGCCCTGGAAATCTGTGCCTGCTCTCTGCTCCCCGGATGCTTTCTTCTATTAATCTTGTCAGAACACAGATTGACTTTCTCTTGGTTTTCTACACACAGTGCTGCCTAGTTTATTAAATTGTGTTAAAAAAAACAAGGACATTATTCTGTTCCACTGTGTGGAAATGTGCTGGCCATCATTTCCATTTATATACATTTGTGGTCTGTGGTAAGCAAAGTAAAATGCCTGTTACCTGTGAAATATCAGTTTGCTCTTTCTTCGTCTGAATGCTACGAAATGTTGCCACGAAAATAAATCATTATCACATATTTTGCCTATAGTTGTCTACAAATTTAAATAGAGAAGCACTCCAGTGATTACAGACCTCTGCCATGTTTATTCAAAGGTCATAAGGTCACAAAATCCATATTTCAGTGTATCAACCCCTTTTATGAATTCAACATTTCTGGTGAGTTAATGATCAAAGCCTTTGGGTCAAAGCTGGACAGACTGATGAAAGACACAGGTTGTGAAATCGAACATTTTGTTGACATAAAAGTATCAGATTGGAGCATCCGTATCAGTCTCAGTTTTCACACCCTACAAAGGTTAAACATAATCCAGTGCTATGAAATCCATTTAAGCAATCAGATGTTGTACTGATGCATTGTAATATCCCAAAGCTCATTTAAAATCTCTTATTTCATTTCTCAACTTTTAACTAAATCAGATGTATATATCTTAAAATACTTCAAACAATGATGACTAATTTTCTGGTAATTGGTCAAAGCCATTTTGGAAGAGATGACAGCCTGCCAGGTGACGTCTGCAGTGAGTGGAACAAATTAAATGTAAGACTTTGCAGCTGTGCTCTCTTTCAAAATATCAGAGATGGACCAGAGGCAACAAACTGATGTGAGGGTGTAAGACAGGAAACATGGCAAAGTGATAGACAATGTCACACGGTGAATAAGCCCTTGCCCAGAGAGACAGGTGCATGACTTCCCATTAATAATGATAACATCAGCTGTTTGAGGTGTACTGACATGCCGAGGAATATTATTGGAAGATAATAAAGTTTAGAAAGTTGGGAAGAAAGTAATTCATTGTGTTACTCCATATAGGGGAGACATTGCAGGACATTACATCAGGACTCCGACGTTAAAGCAGAATTTGGAGGCTTTCTACAATATCTCCACAGTTCTTCACATGAGTTTTCAAAGCCTTTTAAACTTTCTATCTAGTTTTCAATGAAAACAACTTCCACTGGGTATCTACTGGGTTTTACTTCATTCGAGTAAAAATTAAGAGGTACTTAGGATACAGCTTTGTGCAACTTTTTATCCAGCAGTTCTTTTAAATCATGACCGAAGCCTTTTTTTTTCATCACTACCTTTAATTAAATCAAATACAAGGCTGTAGATTAATAACTTACACTGCACTGTAACTTTTACCGTCCTGTTTTATCCGTTTTTTTATTTTCGATTTAACTCTTTTAAAAATTGTTTTATAACTATGTTAAAAATTGTATTATATTTGCTTTTAGATTTTATGTAAAGCACTTTGAATTGCCTTGTTGAAATGTGCTGTACAAATAAACCTAGCCTTGCCGCTAAAACCTTGGAAATTATAGTGAATGTTGGAAGGTCATATTGGAAATTGGCCCCTGTTGCATTTAGGCTTTGTGTGCATGTGTATAAGAAACCAGGAGACACCGGCACATTGGCACAGTACTCACAAAAAAAGGCTGACAGCGGCTACAGACAGCTGGGGAAACAGCTTCACACAACATGGTGGAAACTCGGGTAAACTCCCACTGCAACGTTACAGTAATATTTTTATCATGTGCAGGTTTAACTAATCCATGCTTGTTACATGATAGTTTTACTTTTACTGCATTTGCCTGTCTGCTTTTCAGTAACTGTCTTTTCTATCTGTGTATCTTTCATCGGAGGCTCAGCACAGCTAAATGTATTGGATGTTAATAAAACGGTGACAGAGCTGGATGGAATATTATAACGAGAGTGTGTCACTCGATCTTTATAACAGTTAGACTGCAGTAAGTAACTTAACTGTAGTTGTTGTCCCCGTTTTGCTGCAGTATTGTATATTATGTGGGTCGCATTAGTTACAGCGAGGTGGAGAAGCAGTGTACATGAGTATCGGTAAAACCACGATAAATCTAAATTGAACGTTACGAAGCAAATAGCGGCAGGTCCGAGCTAATGTAGCGTTAGCTGGCTGCTCGTGGCTGCATTACTATAGGCTAGTAGACATTCGCCTTTTATCATTACATCATTTCTTGCAAGCTAAATCAACACTTTGGCGTAATACCAGTGGTACACAGGATAGTAACTTGGGTCGCGTTAGTTGGTGAAGTCATGTGGAAAGCGATTCAACTTTGCACTGGATAACATTAGCAACTGGGCGGTGGTGATGGAGCAATGGATAAGAAACATGTGAGAGACCCGGGTTCAATCCCCCGCTGTGACCTATCCACCATTGTGTCCCTGAGCAAGAGCACTTAACCCCTAGTTGCTCCAGAGGCGTGCGACCTCTGACATGTATAGCAATTGTAAGTCGCTTTGGATAAAAGGGTCAGCTAAATGACTAAATGTAACTGCTCGGCATTAGCCGGCGAGCTAACGCGACTCTCTCCGTGTTTTTCCAGCTTTACTAATGCTCACTTTGTTTTTTTACTCGACATCATGTGAATCTGTTTGGTCTGGTGGGCTTCACCACATAAACCTTTATTGTTGCTTTGTATCTTTACGTGGAGTCTGCGTTGAGCTGGTTGTTTCATGGTGTCAGTGGACTGCATGTCGTTAGCTGCGGTGTTGTCGCTGTTGTCTGAGAGAGGCTCGGGAGCGCGCACAGACCTGAATCTGACCCGACCTCACATTAAAAGCAGAGTAGTGGCTGATGCAAGCAAGAGAGAAAACAGGCGTGTGCTTCATTTCTAAGTGAGCAAGTTTCTCACTGACAATAAGGCAATGAAAATTTGATAAATAAAATCAAAAACTTACATATAGCTCTTTTAATAAAGTCTGACATGGTGGTTTGGATGGTTTCCTTCTAAAATCAATGACCATACCAATGGTCTTTCTAGCTTCTACAGTCATGGGTGTAGAGAATGGACACCAGAGGGGACAGGACACAGCCATAAGGAGATACAACTTTTGTT